CATTGATATCCTTGCAAATTCGGTTCGATTTCGGTTCGAAAGCCGCCTAAAACTTTAGACTTTCATCCGACAATTCGGTCCGAAAACAGGTCAACCACTCCATATAACTTTCGGACAGAAGTCGGACCGAATGCGCAACCGAAATCGGAATTTTTATTCTACTTTTGGTCAGCACTACCAGTAGGTGTAAAATAATGGATTATTCCTACAAAGTAAAAGAACTGATTTTCCTCATCACTAAGTACCATCGGAAGTTCGTCAGATGGATAGTTTGAACAGGACCCTAGTCCGATAAAATTTTAAAATGTGGAAAATTCTGATCGAATCATATGCTGATGGACATCGACAAAAATACACAACTTTTGATGGAATCCAAATGTCCTGTAATGAAATTTTCCCGTTTCGATTTATAAACAAGTAAGTCGTGCGGGGCCGACCATATGGTACCCTACAACACTACAATATGTTAGAAGAACTTTATATCCAAATACATTTTGGACAATTTCGCTTTTGAAATTATGTCACGGAGCACCGCCCAGATATTACCCTTAGCAGTTTGAAGAGGGACATTTGCTCAATGCTGTTAGTCGTAGAGGTTCATTTTACAGCTAAATATAATCCAATGGCCATCCGAAATGCTAGAATTCTTCCCTGCCCTTAACTCCCCTCTCAGGTGTGTCGATTTGCTTCAAGTGTGTAATCAGGAATTTTTTCTGTTTTGGTTCATTTCAACCCCTATAGGCTCTTCTGAGAAAATTTTCGTGAGGATCGGACGATAATTACAATCTGTATATAATAATCCCAACCTGTGTTGTAATGTGAAAAAATATTACAAAATATACACTTCAATATTAAATCAAATTGAAAAAATCGTATGCGATAAAAAATTTGAAAAAATAAAAAAATGTCACAAAATACTACAAAATCTATTTTAAGATAATTATTGGCATCTTTTTCCTTAGATCTTATACTTTTATGCCAAAAGGGCATTCTAAATTGACAATATTTGTCAAAATCCGTTCAGCCATACTTGAGATATAAACACTTTAGCTAACATCCCCTTCCTCTGCATATACACAATGTATATATTTCGCTTTTTATATCCGATATATTTAATATCGGCATCTACGTAACGGTCAGAATTGACCTATTCGTCTATTTGTGATTTCACCGGGATTAAAAATATTCGAGATTTAATGGAAAATTTGAGTTTTATTTAATACAAATGTTATGGTCTTTTTTCACCCACAAAATTTTACCGGATGACCATCAAACTTGGTAGACTTCTGCCCAGCCCAAAGTTCTAGCTCCATTGGTCTATAATTGCTACCTGTAGAGCAACTGCAGAATCAGGAAAGTTTTCAGTTTTTGATCCATTTCAACCCCTAAGTATTATGCGATAATTTCCAAAAAGAATAGGGTTCTATTCTGACCCTATCTCCACCTCCATTCTAAATTTCGTGATGATCGGGCAATAATTGCGACCTGTAGAGTGATTACAAATTAACATGGACAGACGGACGCACGGACATACATAGCTAGATCGACTCAGCTCGGCGAGAGGGGAAGATTCATATATACTTTCCTATGTGGAAACCAATATTTCGAGGTATTACATAATTTTTGGCCCAATCAAACTTATAATACCCCCCAACACATAGTGTTGTAGGGTATAAAAACGTCTTGAGTTAATTTCACTTCCAAATAAGAACAAATATATCCAAGGTCTAGTCTCCACAACAAACTGTCGATGTATTCAATGCTGTCAGCCCAATAAAGTGTCCAATTGTGCAAAATTTTCATCGAAAGATTTAAGCAAAGGCAATCGGACACAAAAAAAAAACCATAAGACATCAGCAACAGGACACCCTGGCAAACAACAGGACATTGTTTGTTATTTATTTTTTTTTACTTTTGTTGTTATTTATAATCTCCCGAAATATCAACAATTACGAAAACAGCATTGGGTGACAAGTCCTTCTTCTTCGTTTACTTCTAAACAAAGCAAAGCAACTTTGAACTTTTCTTGCAGTATCCGTTTCCTTTTTGAAGATTGTTTTTGTTGTGGTTGTTGTTGTAGTATGACACGCAGCCAGACTTCTTAACATTGTAAACAATGATACTTTGAAAAAAAAAAAATTAATATACTAATACAAAATATACACAACAACCAAACACCATGCTATCTGCATACCATTGTCACAAAAATATTTTGTATTTGTTGTTGTAAACTTTACAGACATGATGACAACAATAACAACATGCTGTGAGATCAAATGAAACGGCAAAAAAGCAGAGCTTGAGGAAGTCGGGGGGCCTATAATTCTAAAGGCAGTAACATCCGTGCTCGAAGATATCGATGAAAATAAGAATAATTGAAGGAGTTTGATGCTAAAGCGTCTTCTGCCGTTCTATGCCAATCAAGTTAAAATAACAAAATACTCAAACGAGCTGATAACTTGTCGGAGTTGGTGAAGGAAACAACAAAATGATGTAACCATTCAGGCAGGCAGTCAGCCATGGATAACATCGATGTCGATGTGGTGGGGCTGAGGCTGGGCTATTGTCATCAGTCTTAATTAAGTTGAGTGATATTAAAAACAGTTCATAATGAAATATTTGTTAGCACAACATTCAACACTTGGTTTTGGTTTTTAACTCCTACCGGCTGTGTTGCCTTGTTGCAGGGGAAGGGGTTGGCTGGTTTGGAAAATTGTTACAGTGGTTTGGAATGTTTGATAAAATAATTGTGAATGAATGAACATAATGAAAATGAAATTCCATGTAGAAGAAAGGAACAAAAATTAATGATTCGGTGGAGGGTATATTAACATGTCATTCCGTCTTTAACTCCACGAACTACTGATGTAAGACGCCTCAAAGAATATAGATTCTGGATCAGTGTGAAGTTCCAAGTCGATTTAGCAATGTCTGTCTGTCTGTCTGTCTCTTGTAATCTCTCTTTCTTTCCTTCGAACTAATTAAGATAGAGATAGAGGACGAAAATTTTGGAATCGATTTGAATTTTGCCAGTAGGCAGGTTAAGTTCTCCTAAAGCCCCCATATATATATATATATATATATATATATATATATATATATATATATATATATATATATATATATATATATATATATATATATATATATATATATATATATATATATATATATATATATATATATATATATATATATATATATATATATATATATATATATATATATATATATATATATATATATATATATATATATATATATATATATATATATATATATATATATATAATGACACCTATAATATTCGGTATATTGATGATTTTAGCGACATGATCCACCGATTTTTTTTTTAAATTTCATATTTGAAGATCGGAATCGGTACTACAGCCTATGGCTATGTACTATGTAGGTCCACGTCTTCGTATAGTCCCCATAAAAAAAGTTTTTTAGTTTAGCGGTATTTTTCGACAGATTTACTTTTTTTCTTTTTAACTTTCTCAAGCTCCTTCCAAGTGGTGGGGGGCATTTAAAGTTCGACTGGTCTGCTGCTTCTTCGTTGCTTAATTTCGGCTGCATTCGAGCCACTTGAGTGATTTTGTGTTATATTCTATAGAAAATTACTTGAGAGGTCTTTTTATCCTTCAGAAAACAGCTTGAACAAGATTTTATCGATTAGAAGTTCACGGTGGCCTTTTATTCAATAGAAGACCACATGAGTGGCTTTCTTTTCTCAAGTATTTGAGTTTCAATGCAAGTCTCTTTGAGTGTCCTTTCAATAGAATACCTACAATTCGGACGTCTATACACCAAATATCACTTGTAGAAGATGAGCTGCTATCCTACAGAAGTCTACTGATGCGGTTAGAATGCCACTTAGATGGAAGCCATCATAAGTTTTCTAAAAAATATAGATGTCTGTTTTCAAACAGAAGTAAATCGCGGTGCTTTCTGTCCAAAAAAATCTTTAAGTTGTTTTCCTATACTGAAAACATCGCTTATGTTGCTTCTATATAACAAAATAATCTTTGAATCTCGAATGGCTTGTGACAAAACCTATTCAATAAAAGAGCTTTTTTCTATAGAAATCTCACATTCAATCTGACAAAGTTGTATTATTTACTTTCTATCCCAGAGAAGTGTCCTTTCCGATATAAAAGTGACCTTCTGGCCGTTTCCGAACAACTTGAGCTATCTTCTATACATATAGTCTTATGATTTTGAATAATACTTGATTGGTACTCTATTGTGGAGTTTTTTTTTTTCAAAATTTGGTTGAGGCAATAAAACATTCTCAAATTACTGTTCGTGCCATCTATGACAATGCTGATGAACAGGAAACACAAGAAAATTGATTTTAGTCATTAGAGCACATCCTTTGCCAGATGGTTGAAACGAAGCCATTTTTGCTAGGAAGACAATGAATTTTCTTTTTTACGTTTTAATTTTTCGATTTTGCCAACATGAAAAACAGGCGAAAACATAAACTTTCCATTGACTAATGATGATAAAATGAATACAAAGATGTTTTATGATAAATTAAAATTTCGGCAAGTCTATGGTGGGATGGGATAATAAATTAAAGAGAGACATAAGGCTCAAAATATCTTTAATATTTATATTTGAAATTCCCCCAAAGCTTAAATTGACATAACAAAATAATCAGAAAAAATTTCCATGAGCCACCAATTTAAATCATTTTCACCTTTTTGGGGCGGAAATGATTCAAGGAAAAATCTCCCTCAAAGGAACCGCACAAAACCACAATAACAAATTCTTGATGTTTCCACCCAATTGTATATTCTCTTTCTCTTCATGCTCAATTATCCTCAGCTAAAAATTTCAGCTCGTGTCCTAAAGTCCCCATAAAATTTGTTCTTGTCCCCATCACGATAGGCGGCCTCAAGCTTTTGACACAAATTTATTTTCCATATTTACAAGTAAATTAGCTTTTTACGAGTGCGGGTATATGTATGTATATATTTTAATTTGTGACTTACCCAAACCGGTCATGGGACCAAACACCGTATTATCCTCTGTTGTCGTACAATTCCAGCGGCGATTTTTAAATTGAAATTGACATTCCTGCAAAACACAAAAAAAAGGCAAAGCAACGATGTGAGAGTAAGACCAACAAAAATAATCCCAAATAAATAGCGGCAAAATAAATGTTAATATTTTAATTAAATTATAAAAATTATACCCAAACAAAATAAATAGAAATACATGAGAGACTAACATATGTTTTTACACAAATGATTATTTTTACATATTTCAGACATATACTCGCACATACGTTTATAGAATATGAGATAAACGAAATGAGCTACAAATTTTGTATAAATTGGAATGAGAACACTGGGAGAAAGTTAGAAAGATGGTAAAAGAGTTTTAAATTGAATATATATAAAGTATAATTCGAGTGTTTTCAAATAGATAGAAAGCCAATCAAGTGCACTCCCATAGACAGAATTGAGTGACAAAATACATGCGAGCTTGGAGAGTATGAGTTTTATAAAAAGTTTACTCTCCACTCTACTGTTTTATGTGGGAGTGCTAGCGAGTCGTCTTGTTTGTAAAATAAAAGTTAGAGTCAAAATGGAGTAAGAATTTAGTTTAAGAGTAAAAACGAAATAAAACTATTTGGAACAAAATATTTTGTAGAAAGAAGGCAAATTGTAGTTTATCCACTCTTCTAAAGAACAAATGCCGATGAAATGTTCTTTTGTAGATGAACAGAAATCAAATTTTTCTCGATTTTACGAGATGTTTACTCTCAGCTCTTTTTTTTTTTTTTTTTTTTGGAAGCGCTCTCGAGTACTTCTGTTAGAAAAAAATGGTGGGAGTCATAATTTTCGAAGTAAATAAAAGTTTACTCAATAGTGAAATAGTGGAAAACTTTATTCGAGTGGTATAAAAGTAGGAGTATACTCATTTTGAGCACTCCCGCTTGAATTCGAGCTATGTCGGAGCTTGATCTTTCAATGGAAATGGTATTTTATTTGTTAATTTCCAAGATCACTCTCACTTGAATTCGAGCATCCCGGAGCAAGTTTTTTCAATAGAGTTAGCATTTTATAGAAAGAAGACAAACGAATGGTACAATGTAGGCCATTTAAATGGATTTCCAACAGCAACAAAAGTTATTTTCTAAAGACACAATTCCGATAAAGTGATCTTTATAGATGGACAGAGCTCATATTTGTTCGAATTTACTCGGGAGTAGAAAATACTTGACAGAAGGAGTGTATTTTACAGAAGTTAGAATCTTACAAGAAGTTTTCCGCTCTTTTGTTTTATATGGAAGCACTCGTGAGTACTTCGGTTAGAAAAATAAAAGTGAGAGTAAAATATAACTCGGGAGTGAAAAATGCTTGAGAGAAGGAGGGTTTGAAAAGTACGAGTTTGACTAGAAGTTTTCTCTTTACTCTTTTACCTTATATGGGAACGCTTTAAAGTCTCCTGTTTCCAGAATAGAAGAAGGAGTCAAAATGTTCGAAATAGAGTAAGAGTTTGCTCCAAGAGTGAAATCGAGCGGAGAACATTATTTGAGATTTATTTTATATTTCAGAGCTTTTTGAGAAAAATCCACTATTGTGGTCCTCTATAGATTGAAAGTTACTCGAGCGGTTTTGGAGGGTATATTAAGTACGCCATTCCGTTTGTAACTCATCGAAATAATTATTTTATACCTAACAGAGTATATATATTCTTGATCAGCGTAAAATTCTAAGCCCTGTCAGTCCGTATGTTGTAATAACGCTAGAGTCAAAACGAATTAAGATAGGAAGCTAAAAATTTGCACAGATCTGTCTTTTGCGTGTAGGCAGGTAGAGTCCGAAGATGGTTTATTTTTGATGATTTAAGACACATTTTTCAATGGAATTGTCCGCAATTCGACACAAGATGTTTTCTGTGGAAACTTTACCGCCTGTAAGATAATTGTCTATATATATACTCAGTATTTTGATAATTTTAGCTAAATTGTTCAAATCTTCACAAGGAGTTCTTCTGAATACTTTACCTCCCGAAAAGAATTGTCTTTATATGACCACGATATCGTTTATCCCCCATATAACGATACCTTCCAACATTCGGTATTTGGATGATTTTAGGTACATTATTCTCCGGAGTTGTTTCAAATTTGGGTAATGAAGTTCGTAATGGGTAATACAGCCTATGACAAAAAAATTGCGTATGCACGCCCACATCTTCGTATAGCCCCCAATATAGCGGCTATATTCGGTATTTTTAAGAATTTTACAGAATTTTTAACGGATTTTGTTTATTAATTTATTTTTGTTTGAAAAATCGAAATTGTGATGGGTATTAAAAGTTCGGCCCGGCTTACTGCTTTTTTACTTGGTTATTTATTAATTTATTATTATTATTATTATTAATATTATTATTATTATGATTATTATTATTATTATTATTATTATTATTATTATTATTATTATTATTATTATTATTATTATTATTATTATTATTATTATTATTATTATTATTGTTATTATTATTATTATTATTATTATTATTATTATTATTATTATTATTATTATTATTATTATTATTATTATTATTATTATTATTATTATTATTATTATTATTATTATTATTATTATTATTGTTATTATTATTATTGTTATTATTATTATTATTATTATTATTATTATTATTATTATTATTATTATTGTTATTATTATCATTATTATTATTTATTTATTTATTTTTTTTTATAAATCCAAATGGTGGAGAATTCGGCCCAGCCGAAATTACTGCATTTTTACTTGTTTTTTTTTTTTCAGTGGATGGAAGTTATCAGAAAATCAAATCCCTTCCACTACTAGTCATTTAAATTCCATTGTCTTTTTCAGAGTGTACTTCTTTCTCTAATACAAAACTGGTTTCATCGCATATATTTTCCCCATAATTTAAACCAAAATGTTTGTATGCAACAAAAAAAAGTTGCACACAAATGCATAAACTTGGTCAATTTACATACATTCCGGACCAAACTATGGGAAATATGCTGCGGTATAATGCGATATTACCACAATCAATTATATTAAAATTTGTTGGTTGGTTGTTATTAGTTTGCCCCTCGCCCCACACATCCGGCTGGGAAAAGGGATGACAGAACGGATATTTTTTCGTTGTTTTTACATTTATATACAAAAATTGAAATATTTTGAAATCATATTAATTCCAGTTGATGTTTAAGCTATGGACTTTGTAATTTCAGCATTTAAATGCGAAACTATTTCTAAATGAATGAATTACTCAAAAAATATTTCAAAAATAGCATAAATATTATGTAACTCCAGAGCAGACAAATGGAAAAGTAAAAATATTTAAACACAGACGCGCGAACTGATGTGTAGTGGAGCATAAAATGATGATTGTGATAATGTGTGGGAATATGGGTGACAGCACGATTCAATCACTAATATCAGACGGGAAAAAAATAATTTTTCTTTAAAGTAATAATATACCATTCTAAGTGGAACCAGACCAACCTGAATGAAACAAGGAATATTAGATCTAGAGCGCTACTGGATATCAGGGAGATATATACTTCTCTAACGAAATTCAGCCACAACGTGTTTTAAACTTACATTGAGTCACCCATATGCATGCACATATTTTATAATTTCTAATTATTTGCTACAAAAATTTAAAGCCATAACTTCTCCCTAATTGATATGTAAATCATTGCAAGCCGATTGCTCATGTCAAAATATGATACAAAAATTCCAAAATAATAGCGTTATTGTTGTTCTAATTTTTTTTGCCAATAAATAATAATAACAATAACAAATAAAATTGAAATTAAAAAGGCTTTAATTCTGGTTATTTAGAATTCAAAATATAATTAATTTAAAAATAATTAAAAACATTTATGGGTAATATAAAATTATATTTGGCTTTAGAAGAAACCTATAACAATTTTGGTTGATTTAAAGCGCGATGGATTTAAATCGAAATTGAGTGATATTTATGAAAAATAAAGTTGAAACAAAATAATAATGGGATAGAAAAGTTTTTAGAAGCTGGGGGAAAATGATGTCACTAGAATGGATATTTTTTCATAAGAGTTTTTTTTACAGAAAACCAGATAATCTTTAGAAAGTACCACACAAAATTATACTTTATCGAAAACTAGAGGTAAAATCAAACAAGAAGTTCTTTCCATAAAAGACCAGCAGATCTTTCGCAAAGGACCAGAAAGTATTCTCATGACGGACAACTTAATCTTCCCAAAGCTTTGGATTACAAGTGTGACGCATAGGGTTTTTGGTTTTATAAATAACCAAAAGCCTTTTTAATTGAACAAACGATTTTCCGTAAAAAGTTCTTCCTAGAGAAGACCACAAGGATCTTCCCATAGAAGACCACAAGTGTCTTCTAATAGAAGAACGGAAGGGTCTTCCCATAGAAGACCAGAAACGCTTTTTCATAGAAGACCAGGGTCTTCTCTTAAGAGACCAGAAGGCATTTTCACCAGGACGTTCTTCTCTTAGAAGAAAAGAAAGGTCTTCTCAAAGGAGACCAGAAGAGCCCCTCGCAAAAGACCCAATGTCTCATCATAAAAGACCCGCAGGTCTTCTCATAAAATAACCGCAGGTCTTCTCATAGAATAACCGCAGGTCTGCTCATAAAAAACCGCAGGTCTTCTCATAGAAGAACCGCAGGTCTCCTCACAGAAGAACAGCAGGTCTTCTCATAGAAGAACCACACGTCTTCTCATAGAGGAACCGCTGGTCTTCTCAAAAAAGAATCATTGGGCTTCTCATAGAAGAATCGCAGGACTTCTCATGAAAAAACCGCAAGTCTTCTCATAGAATCTCATGGAAAACCGCAGGTCTTCTCATGTAAAACCCGCAAGGTTTTCTCGTGGAAAACCCGCAGATCTTCTCATAGGTCTTCTTATAGAAGAACCGCAGGTCTTCTCATAGAAGAATCATTTGCTTCTCATAGAAGAACCGCAGGACTTCTCATGGTAAAACCGTAAGTCTTCTCATAGAATCGCCGCAGGTCTTCTCATGGAAAACCGCGGTTCTTCTTATGTAAAAAACGCAGGT